TTTCCCTGATGAAATAAACGTTGTCTTAAGCAGCTAGAATCTCACAAATATTTGTACGAAATTTCAATTCTGCGCTTGTTGTAGCCTTACCGTGTGGCATGTGCGGTTCGATATTTCTGGGTGGCTCTTCTTCGCCTGCGTCTCTCCTCCCGCGATAAAGTGCCCGAACCAGGGGTGCTTACCCCGTTGACGGCGATGCCGTGGCCGCCGTTCGCCATAGATACCGCTCTATCCTCGCTCGCAAAATCGCAATTGAAGCTCTTCATGTGCCTCGACTGCGATACGAGAATGTTCCTTTCAAAGAGATTTAGTCTGATCTGTGTCACGAAAGATTATCTTCTCACCTACGCCGTTGGAGATCCCCTTCACAGAATACACCTATTCGGGATGTAATTTCGCTTTCCATAGCACGTGACTGTAATTATAATTGCAATAACCATTGATGGGGCACGAAATAACACAGGTAACTAGGCGGCAAAATTGATTTTGTTAACGTTACAACCACCAGCAACGTACTTTGTCGCACAATTCGCGACTTTAATTTTAGAAACACTTATCTGATTAGTTCTTAATTTGTATTAATTGCTTGATAATCGATCATTTTATTATTTCTTGTGCTAAGGAAAAGCCGATTTCAAATTTGTCACATAATTTATTGTTAAAATTACAATCATGAGTTGTGTATAATATCAAACTTATTTTTAATCTAATTATTTTATAGTATATTTGTAGATTTATGTTTGTGACATTTTATTCATTATGCAATTTTTAGGCAAAATACATTATTAAAATACATTATGTATATAATATAAATAATATATTAAATATAATTATCATCGCTAATTGACAATTTCATATTTTTACATAAAAAAATTATATCATTATAGCAACATTAAATAAATAATAATCAAATTTATTACATCGGTAAGACTCTTGGGAATTGCAAAAACTGCAGCGCAAAAGGGTTGATTCTATAAGAATATTAGGGTTCGGTCGGCGATAATTGGATAGCCAAATATTTGTCAAGCACACAACCGTAACTTATGTAACAGAATTATGATCTCATGATAAAGAATAAAACCAGAAATAAACAAGTTTCTAGAAAGCAAAATATTACATTAAAAATGTTTGGTATTTGCCGTATACGAAGAAAAGCATAAATTTTAGAAAATGCCGAATTTTATCGTGTCATCGAAGCAGTCTCGGTTTGATGCTGATTTATGGGAAAGGCATTGCATTATTAAGCGAAATGCGGTTCACGCTCTGCATAAGTGTGGCGCGTTCTTTCATCAAGTATTGACGAAAAGCAACCCCGGGTCCAGTTCGATCTGATTCTCATGGTAAACCGGCAATTTGTATGAGCGTTCGCGCTTCTCTCTCTTTCTCCTCGATTTTTTCTTTAATATTTTAGATTTCTTTAAGATTTCAGGCGACAAGTCTTCCTGACGCTTCTTATAATATTTATCGTGGCACTACTATTTAATCAAATCGATACGATTCCCTATGGATTTTTTTATTTTTACGACTTTACGTCGTACTTTTTTATGCAAATCCAATTTTGTAGAGAAAGCATCTTGTAAAAAATTTGTACAAAATTTTATATATATACTTTATGTATAAAATTCACACTCTCTCTTTCTTAAAGCTTTATACATAATATTTATATTAAAAGATTTATAATCTCATAGTACATAAACAAAAATTTAATTGGTAACAAAGACATTACATACAGATAGTAAAAATTTATTTTTAATTATCATTTAAAATTAGAAATCAAGATTAAGATTTATAACAATTTAATTCTGGGAATTTTTAAAAATGTTAAATAATACAATTGTTTTAATTTTTAATATTTTTTATAAAGTAACACTCCGTTTTATATCAATACGAATTATTATATGTATTGTTATATAATAATTAATATGTTTTCTTATTTATTTTTACTCACCACAAGTTTCTAGAATAGGAAGACTTTCGAAATCATCTCATCCGATTTGAAGCAACATCATTCTTCTCTCACTCACCTGATATTAAATAATTGCGGATAAAATCTTATCCGATCCACTTTCTATTAATTTCAGCACAAATCCGCAGATTTTTCAAAACATCCCACTCCACTGCAAAAACTGCAAAATGGCTCGTTTATCTATCGAATCTAGATCGCGATTAAATCGACCTCGATTGTTAAACTTATCCGCGGCAATAAGATTGCCTCTGGCAATATCTCGATCTCCCGGCTTCGACGAGATCGTCGGAAGAGACAACGGCAGCATCCATGTCGGAAAAAGGGAAGGGCGAAGTTTGGTTATACTCGAGCTCGCGGGTAGGGGTTGTTTCATCCCCCGTAACCACGCCCTTGGTCCCGGTGTTGCAGGCTCCGTCGCCCTCCCGTTTTCCCAGCATCCCTGACGAGCACCCCGAGTATTCTCCAATGGACAAGCGAGAGATATCCCGACAATCCCGCCCCGACACCTGATGCCACGTCGCCATTCCGCCGCATTTCGCAATTCACGTGACAGTATTTTACAGCTTCCCGGATACACCGTTTTATCGATCATTCGTTGTTCCGTCACTAAAATGGAAGCTTTTTTTGGAAAATTTTTTGTCGTTTTCTTTTTTTGGAAACGATAATATTTTAATGCTGAATATGAAGGCAAGTAATTTTATTAGATTATTTCTTATATTAGCTTATCTCGTCTATTTTCTATCTCGTTGGAATCTTTCGTAGAAAATATTAAATTTCAGATGTTTTGCAGATTATCTCGATTATAGACAATTCGTATTGTTAATATCTTTAACTGAATAATAACATATTTAATTTGCGTGATTAAAAGTCATTGACACAACTTTCTTTTGCTGCGTCAGTGATAAAATCAAGATATTGTCAGACGTGGAAAAGCAAATTATGTACAAAGTTTAACTGACAACGAGAAGGCACGACTATATTACCCAAGATATGGGAAAATATGGGAACGCACATAAATTTCTTGCAATTAGAATCGTTAATAGAACACTTGATATAATTATGAGACTATAATATATTGTCATATATAATCTCACATATACACACACAATTTCTTTCGTAAAAAGAATTTTACTCTTTTTTTCCTTTATAAGATTGTGACGTTCATTTAGTATCTAAAAGGTGCTGTAAAAATAAGAAGAAAAAATAATAAACCTCGAAGAGAGATAGATTCATCGGAGTAATATAGATTTTTTCGAAGGATCAGGTGGCGGACGGGTCGCATCTGTGCCATTCGACTATAATAATAACACTCGCATATTCCATTGTAGAATACTTCTCTATTTAAAATCAGAATCCTTTCGTTTCGTACTTCATAATAACATATTTTTACATATAGCTAATTTCTTTATATTATAAAACGCGTTTGTAATGTCTGAAATATTTCGTTATCGGAAAATGTTAAAAGAAGAACGGGAAAAGATCAGATCTATCATGACATTATTAAGGATGTTTTGGCTATACCTAATAGTAGCAAAATGTTATCAAAATTTAAAAAAGAACATTTCACAATTCTTACGTTTATACTATTTGAAAAGTTAAATAAATAAATCTGGATTATAAAAAGAATTAAAATTATCACAAAATAATATGGTTTTTAACATTTTCATAAAAGAAAATAGTTATAATTAAAATTTTTTCTAATTTATATGTCAAAAACATTTGGTCGAGAATACTTTCTGAAATCAACTGCAAGAAACAAAAAAAAAAAAAAAAAAA